TTAATCAGGCGAAAAACGTATTTACGTTTGAAGACGGGCTAGCTGAAAAACAGCCCACCTGTCTCGTTACAGCTCGTCCTATATTGGCAGCTTTATCACCCCTTGACCAGATGGGCGAAGTAGACGAAGGTTCCTCAGCTCCAGACGTAGATGTTATCAAGAGTATGCTTGAAAATGCTCTAAATTTCCTGGCAAATGTAAATGTTCGCCTCAACTATTGGCGTCAATGCAGGTTCTCGGAATACCTGACCGTAGCTGGTAGGCTTACATTCAAGGGTTACGTATCTAAACACTGGCATCTTTTCCAGAGTGGTTCAACGAGCGTATCAAAAGTGAACACTCCCACTACTTCTCAAATATTAAACTTATTAGTTAACTACGACCTAAGCCTCGATTTTTTACAGACGACTTTGTCACGACAGCCCTTTTGTCCATCACCAAATAGGACAGCTGGCAGCAAGCGTAAATTAGGCTCGTTACGCTCAGATAAGCTGGACATTAATGTTCTTTATAAGATTTCCTGTCTGGAAAATCCATCGCCACTGTTGTAACCGATTAAAATGATAAAAAAACGCTCGTAGCGTTTCCGAAATTTCAGCGCCTCATTGAGAAACTTGGTAAAACAAAACCGGATTTATTGTTCTTTGTGAGATGTAAGAAACAAAGCGTTGTTCCCATGCTCTTGTGGTTAAAGGTCGTTAATCGGAATTTGAAGACATCTTCAGCCTATCACGAGGGCCAAATAAAATTCCCCATTAAGAAATTGCTCTTGAACGGTCTAACATGCGAAAACATTCACGATAAAAACCAAAGATGCCTACACACATCTCTCAGAACGAGTTTGCGTACAAGACCTTGTCCATTTGAAGTCAGTGTCTGATAAAGAAAACACAACTGCGATTAAACAACATCGAGAGGTTCAAGAAAAGTAACTTTTACGTTTCTGTTCAATTTCTTCCCAAGCAAACTCGACAAACCAGGATGATGTCATCTTTAATTTCGAACTTTCTAAGTGCGAACTCTCCTCCCAAAAAAGATCTTTTAGCTAAAGGTTTAAACTTCTCGCTTCCTCCGCACAAACCTAAGCACAAACAAACCATTTACTTTATCACAAACTTAATTTCACTGATTACCTTGTTCCATTTGAATTTCTCCACCGCAAACTTAAAACTCAAACAATGTCTGCCACTTTCAACGACACAGAGGATCACATTAAAACCTGCCTTAAAGACATCCCCTTATTAAGTTACTAGAATTGCTTACTTTCTCTTAAACCAAAATGACTACAAAACCTGAAAGCACTAAAGGACGACAGAAGAATTTACGTCATATCACCCGACAAAGGTAACGGTGTTGTAATTGTGAATTGCGACGACCACGTTAATAGGAACAAATCTTGAATTACAAATTCTAGTTCTAAGAACTAATGACAGATCCATTTAATGCACTTTTATGCAAGAAAAACACCTGCGAAGCTTCCTACTTGATCTGAAAAGAGACAAGACACCATCAGCGAAGAGATTTACGAACGTTTAGTATCAACAGGTAGCAAATCCGGTAATATATATGATCTACCTAAAGTTCACAAAGCTAATCTCCCCATTTCGCCCGACTCTTTCCACCATAGGCACTCGTTCTTTCGATCTCTCTAAATTCCTTCTTTCTTAACTAATTTTTCTTATCTCTAGCCGCTGCTTACTTTCTGACACATTTTCCTTTCTGGACGCTAACTACGCAGCAGTAACATAGAAAGTGACAAAGTCTTCATGGCGAGCTTTGATGTCACCTCTCTCTTCACAAACGTACCGATTGATGACGAAACGATTGACATAATCATTAACAGAGCCTTTCGTAACTCCCCTTTTTTTCGTGGCTTTTTGTTTAATTGAATTGAAAAAACTTCAACACATCGGTCAAAAATTTCGCATTTTTTTTCAACAATAATTATTGCCTACAGAAAGACGGCTTGCAATGGGTCACCCTTTGCCCCGTCTTCGCCAACACTTTTCTTGACCATTATATGAAAACAATCGCTAAACAACTGTCCCACTGAATTCAAACCTCTTTTTTATCGATGCTATATTAATAGTTACTTCATAATTTTTCGTTCAAAACATCAAGTTCCTTTATGTTTGGATTTTCTCATTAAAATATTCCAATTTTCCCTTTACTTGCAAGACTGAAAATAAACGCACAATCCCCTTTTTAGATGTATTAATTGAGCGCTCTGATAACCGCTTTTTTACATCCGTTTGTCGCAACCCCACATTTACTGTTTTTTTTAACAATTTTGACAGTTTTATCCCTTATTCTTTTAAACGTGGCCTTATCTATACACTCTTAGACCGATACTTTAAAATTTCCTCGTTGTTTAATTGTTTTCATGAGAAAGTTATGAAGCTCAATCAATTCTTATCAAATAATAGATATCCGGAAGCGTTCGTTCATTGATCGCTGCATTCACTCATTTTTAAACCTTATTTTCTCCACACCAAACACTGATACTTACAGCACAGACGCTAACACTACCGAAAACAACATCATTGATTTTAGCATGCGTTTTACTGGTAAACATGCTCTTCAAGTCCGAACACAACTAACTAAAATTCTTCTTTCCCCAACGGATCACTATAATCTTGCAAATAGCACAGCAATCTTTTTCGATTGTTCTTCTGAGAATCTTGTCTCACCCGTCTTTGCTGATCGCATACCCGAACGCTGCACGTTGTGCATTGTTGGTACTCATAGTCTTAGACATGTTTAATCGGAGACATAGCTGCATGGTTTCTTTCCAAAGTCTCCATCTGTAAACAACGACAACTATTCGAATGTCGTGAAGTTCATTTCTATTCGTTGTTTCATCAACGCTTCTATCTCACTTCGACACCATGTAATGTTATCTGTTTCTATTCACTTTGTCAACAAGTTAGGAAGCCTTGTTTTATATGCTTACAAATGTAATTAGTAAGCATTTAAAACCGAGTATAACACCACCTGCTTACAGATCTAATTAGCATGAATATATTTCAGACCAGATCATTGGACTTTCAATTATGAATAGCAATCATTGGTGCAGCTCGAACTTGGTGCTTGTTAAAATACAAATGTTAATGTGATATCAAAATATATAAGCTGACCGTTATTGTAAGTTTTCTTTTACCCAAATAACTATTTTAATAATGCTCTGCTATTTCTATAGTAAACAAAGCAACAAAGAATACATACAAATGATACAATTAAATTGTTTTACGAAATTCATACATCATCTTAAATTATATATTAATTTTCATGTAAACAAAAAAAACTATGTTTGCTTCTTTAAACCTATTTTAATAAATGTAAAAAATTTCCTTAATCGATGCATGTTGTAATAAAGATTGTAATCATTATACTCTTAATATATTCTGCTGAAGGAAATAATTAGTTTTGTTTTCCCTCGAGTCAAAATATTTCCCGAGACGACATATCTTTTTTATTTGTTACGACAATAAACAATTTTTTTCTTGTTGTGTTGCCCTGGCCAAAGAAATGCATTGATTTCTAGTCATGTGACTACAAATGAACCAATTGCATTTATCATACATAGCACATATATAATAATGTTTATAAATGATGAAAATTTAATCTGGACATGGTTCAGGTCACCTTACAAGAATAAAAATTCATTTTATTTTAGTTTTTCACATAATTTTTAGGAGAGTGTTAATTTATACTTTAGTTCATCATGATATTATTCTCATATTCTGTAGTTTGATGAAATGGCTTCACCACGTAAAAAACTGAAGATTGAGGCAAACGGATCTCGTTTGAGCAAACTTTTAATTAATAAAGGTACAAAAGCCTTGAAACATTCATTGCAATATTTATTAAAACCATCAAATTTATCTGCTACACTAAATGATCCTTCTACAATACGCAAATTGAAATCAATAAAATTCAAAGTGATTAGCAAAGATCAATGGGATCTTCTTTACCCGTCAACTGCTTCACCAGACATTGAAAACTTTGATATTTCATTGTTGACTGTCTTATTGCGAAATATATGTGGTCTAACAGCGCCAGCTGGTGGATGGAATAATCTTCCCTCTCACTCAGATACCTCAGTTTCAGCAAATATTGCAAGAATAAAGTATTTTCGAAACAAAGTGTACGGTCACATCACGACAACTAGTGTAAATGACATTGAGTTTGAGGACTTGTGGCAGGAAATTTCAAAAGCATTGGTCGGTCTGGGTATTCAACAAACTGAAATAGATGAATTGAAAGGAGCTCCTCTCTGTCCTGATGAGGCTGATTATATTGAAATGTTAAAAGACTCGTGTAAGAAAGAACAGCTGTTGATTAATTTGGCTGAGAAAACTAAAGATGATGTAAAAGAAATAAAAAAAGATGTTGTGGAAATAAAGGAAGCGATGGCAACACAAGCTGATGTAGCTGATATAAAGGAAGTGATGGCAACAAAAGCTGACGTAGAACAAATAAAGGAAGTGATGGTAACAAAAGACATTCTAGAAATGAAGGAAGTAATGACAACAAAAGCTAACATAGCAGGAATAATGTTGCAAGACAAAACATTTCCACATATCGAGAAGCTTGCAAAGTGTTATTTCAATGGTTTGATAAAAGATCTTAACAAGAAATTCTTACAAGGTACTAGACAATGGTTATTTGAAAAACTCGACACTTGGTTCAACGATGAAGATGTTTCTAATGTCATGGTTTTGATCGCTGGACCAGGTGTTGGTAAAAGTGTGTTTTCTGCTGAGGTTTGTCGGCGGTATTCCGAAAAGAAGAAACTTGCTGCTTGCCATTTCTGTAAGTATAATCGATCAGATTATAGAAATCCTCGAATGTTGATAGAATCATTGGCCAGTACCATGTGTGATACAATATCCGGTTTTAAATCCAAACTAAACGAAGGATTGAAGAGAAACCATTCAAAAATAACGATTGCAGATGCATTCCGTGTTTTATTAAATGATCCATTGCATTCCTTGGAGGATGACGAACCAATGCTTTTGGTTATTGATGCTTTAGATGAAAGTCAAGTTGATGGCAAAAGTGAATTATTGGAATTGATTAAAGAAGAATTCGGTCAACTGCCTAAATGGATTAAAATTTTTTTCACCAGTCGTCCAGAACTTCCTGTTCAAAATGAGTTGAAAGAAATGAATCCTGTGGAAATAACAACTCAACCTCGAGATAAAAACAACGAAGAAGACCTACGCAAATATTTGAAATATCAGTTAAACTCTCCGTCGACTGGGAACTCCGAGCTTTCTGTTTCTGACGACGTGATAAAATTATTAGTTGAAAAATGTGAAGGGTCTTTTCTTTATGCTTATCACGGACAAGCAGAGCTAAAGAGAAAAAATGTTGAACTTAACATAGAGAATATTAAACGATTAGTCCCTCTTGGCTTGAGCGGTCTCTACAAGAAAGAATTTCATCGAGTAAAAGCAACCTTAAAAGAGGTCAGTTTATCAACGCACAGCACTGTTTTGGGGGACGAAAACTTTAAGAAATTCCTTAAAGTGTTGGCAGCTTGTGGAGACTTTTTGCCTTTGTCGGTTGTTTTTGAGTGTTTAGGTTTACCTGATGATGTCAACTTTGAAGATCAGAATAGCATCATTGAAATTATGTCTCAAATTTTGCCAGTTTACGATGATTGTTTAACCGTGTATCACAAGTCTCTCATTGATTGGTTAAAATCAGATGGTTATGATAGGCATCAATTTACAGTTAGTTCTCAATCTATACTAAACGGACATCTGTTATTGTGGCGTGCATGTGAGAAACAGTTTCGTCACATTAAGTCGATAAATATTTTTAAAGATCAACTGAACACTGCTATGACTAAATATGCTTTGAAGAATGGATTTTATCATATGATAGAATGTGGCGATAATGTGGACTTTAATTGGGCAGTAGATGTTAAAATTGTTTTCGCAATATTAATGATGAAATCATTTAGAGTATTACGGAATCGGTGGAGAGAAATCGTACAGAAAAGACAAACTTTCTTGAGTGAATATCTACTAGAGGAATTATTATTTCATATGAGGATAGTCGCTTTTTACGTTTTCTCGTTACCTGAACATTCATCTTATTTACAGTTTATTGCAAATAGAATTCATGGTTTTGACGAAGAAAGATTATTAGCAAGGAATTTATTGCAACAAGGAAAGTTTGTTTGGTTTGAGAATTTAGAGTCAGCATATCTATCAAAGAGTTATTATTCGACTATCTCCTTGCATGGTCATGTTACATCTCTTTGTGTGTTGTCCAATAAAGATCTTCTTGCTGTAGGATATGAAAATGGTCAAATATCTATTCTTGAGCTTCCTGGATTCAAAGAACGATGCATTCTCGGCTCTGTATTTGATGATTCAAGGTCAAAAGAAAGTGACAAGAAATACACATTTCCTGATTACATCAAACATTGGCAGTATGTAATCAACTCACGTGCGGATACATCAGTGAATTTTGGTGTAGTACCTGGAAATATCCGTTGTTGTTCCTTCTCACCCACAGGCCGCAGACTGGTAACTAGTGATGGATCCACTAAAGTAAAGCTTTGGGATGTCGACAATGGATGTTTATTGTCATGTTTGCAATCAGGAAGAGACGTTGATCGCTGTGTCTTCTCGGATTCTGGATTGTTCATCGTAGCAAGTCATATGGATCAACCTGAAGATATATTCACTGCATGGAATGCATCAACTATGCAAAGAATAGATCCACGCACTGTTGAAATCACGCTTCAAAAATATGACATGATTACTGAATGTGTTAATTCGGTCACGTTTAAAGAATTCTACGTTGTGCCCTTTTTCAGCAAGCTGATTATTTTCAAAACTACTGATCTTCTTCAGAGGCATACGTTTATTTTTAAGTACATTGGAATCAAATGTTTTTGTTTTTCACCGAATGGGTCTTTTTTGGCTGTCTTTACAGTCAGTGACCTCGTCAACATTCATATTTTTAATATTGAGCGCTTTTTCAATGCCCAAACTGTACCATTGCAACTGAAAAATGCTTTAGAATGCTCGTGGTCAGATAATTTGCTGTGGATATGGGATGGTTCTGATCATCTTACAAAGATATCGACTTCTTCTGACAATTCTTTTGTTGATTTAACGAAGGCGAAGCAGGTAAACATTGGATTTAAACCCAAGCGAGTCTTAACATTTGGCGTGGTCATAGTTTGTATTGATCAAGACGATGTCACTCGAGTTGTTAGAATTGCGAAGGGTGAGGTACAGTACAACAAAAGACTTTCTGTCGATAGTCTAGAATTTAAAGTAGCTGTATCACCTGATAGTTCTCTTATTTTAACTGTAAGCGAAACAAAGTTCACAATGTGGAAATGGAGAAATGCTGCCGACGAACTTTACTTGGAGGCTTGGTACACTGAAGAAATAAGGTCTTTTATTGAAAAATTTGTAGGAAAACAGACAAATGTAAAAAATTCCTGTTTCAATTGCATCTTTACAAGTGATAGTAAACAAGCGGTTCTGATATTCCCTTGTAAGGTGGCAAGTTCAGAATCACGGCATTATCTCTGTCTTATTGATGTGCATTCGACGTGTAATGTGGATGTAATTTGGTATAATGAGAAATTTCCAGACAAGGTCTTATTTGTTTATAAATCGTACTGCATTGGAACAGATTTATTTCGTAAAAGAGTTAAGTTCGATTCTTTGATTGCTCAAGATTTAAAGAGTGGTAAAAAAGGCGTTGAGATTTTTACATATGACGATAATGTTTATGGCCCCCCTATGATAAATATACATTCCGAAACTGGAACTGTTGCTTTAGTCACAAATGGTGGACGTAGAGTTGAATTTTTTAAATTAAATGTTCCTGAATAAATTATCATTGATCACTGTCGGAGCTTTTCGCCTATGAACATATGAAAAACATGTTGATATCTCTTGACAAAGACATAATACCTCATCTGTGTCTGACCTACGCATATTAGCTACTGAAAACAAGTGGAAAATGTTCCTGATATGGCAATTGAACAGTTACAAATGGTGTCAACTAGGAAGTAACACGCCTGGCATTTTTGCTCGCCAAAACGCTAGTTTGTAAGTCATTGTGTCCAGCGGTTTTTGCACGAAATACTTAATTAAAATAATTAATTACTGAAGATATCGGCATTTTCAGCAGAAGAAGTTTTACATCAAGAGGAGATATACAACAGAGCCGTTGAACAGCCGCCTTCCTCCTTAAAAAAAGTTGAAGAGGCAATTTTCGCATTAGCAAGGGACATGCAATGCGAAAATGTGGAAATTGTCTAAGAGCAGCGTGTGGAGCAAGTACAAGCTACTCTTGAACTTGCAAAGAGGTCTACTTCGACACAAAACAATAGTTCGCTGAGGTTGATGGGACTTTCTATCAATCCAGCCAAGCTCTTAAAGGAGGAGTCACGAATTTGGCTAATGGGGATTCGTCGACGACTTGGCAAAAAAAAGCATCAGAAACCCATATTATGGGGAAATTAAAAGGGACACTCTGCATGCTTTTTTGCTACCATGATGCGTACTGTTCGCAGTTTGGATGGTTTTGTGGCTCCTTTCTGTTACCAGGTTGAAAACAAGAAGGCTGAGGTGATATCCTTCACGTCCATGCGCCTTTTGAATGAGTTGCTTGTTTTGTTGTATGGCTTGTCCAAGGAAGATGTTGCTGCTTACCTAAGGCGGACGTCGCAAGGGTCAAACAGCAGCAGTTATTGTAACCGAGGTGAAAGAATTTGTTTTTATGTACAAAACAAGGCCTGGAAAGCTTATCATTGGATTTAACTATGGTAAGTTGAATATTAACGGAGTTCCTCAACATGTTTGTTAGTTTATTAATGTGTGCAAGGCTTACAGTTATGATATCTTTTCATTGTCTATCTTTTCAGGTAAAGCAAAACCAGTCTGATTGTTCTGCTGTCATGCATATATTTTACTGTGCTTTTATTGGAAAATGATAAACCTATTCATAAATAGCTATATAAATTTGCTTAAAAATTTGCATATGATGAGCAAACAATCAGGCTGAATTCTAATTGTTTCTGTCATCACTATACATTGGTTGCATACAACTTATTTTGGTTGTCTTTAGTTGTGCATTGCATTTGTTTAAACTTTCACAACTGCAAGTACTATATCAAAACCTTTAGATTAAGCATGGTGATTTAAACTAAACAATTTTTTGTTGGAAATTGCCTCCAAAATAATTTTTGAACATATAATTTAATTTAGTCCTAATTTTGAAGGCAATTACCACCATCAAAACATCAAATCTATTTATATTTTTTGTTTATTCAATGATGAGCTTTCCAGTTTCTCATTTTCTCATAAAGGCTAACAAACAAAAAATTTGCCAAACAGCAAAAGAAGCAACTCATTGAAAACTTAAGAAAAAATATGAAAAAATTCAACCTAATTCATGCCATCCCTCTAAAAACAAAGAGATCTACAAATACTTTTTATATTTGTTTCAAATTAGAAAGTTGAAACCTGACTAACAACTGAGCCATTTATTAGCTCTTGGTATTTGTTTCATTGCCTGCTTTAAAAACAAAAATAGGGCAAACCCTGACGCAGTATCTTTTATAAAAGATATCGCGTCAGGGTTCGAAATAATGCTGTAAATATGTCGAATTTTGTGAGAAAATTTTTTCGAATAAAATTTTAGCAGGCTTTTTTAATATTATAGGTCTAAAAAAGTTGCTAATATGCTTGAAGCCACAGAAAATTCGGACACTATTTTAACTTGAAAAGTTCTATAGCAGAAATATAAACAAACGATAAGAATGAGATAGTCGATGTCACAATGATATTAAGATATATTACTGGTAATTGCATCTTGGGAATTTTGTATTTTTGAGAAAAGTTAAGATCAGCGAGAAAACGTTTATTTAAAATTGCGTTTGTTGCGAACGGGAATATGAGTATCCTAGTACTTTCTTGATTATGGATTTGGGTTGTTGAAAGGCAAGGTGTTCTTTAATTATGTATAGGTAAGATATACACGTATGTAAATAATATACATTTATATCTTACCTATAGATGATTACATTACTGTCATTTTATCGGAACATAATTCAAACACTGGCAAAATGTCAAATGTAAAACAATGAAGATTTGTAAGAAGTGCCACATCTTTTGAAAGAATTTTTTGTACAATGATACTTTTGAAGAGCTGGAGCAAATTGTGCATGAATTATGACAATTAGCAGATAGCGTAACCTGAATTTTTATTTATGAGTATACTTTTTTATCCATAACATCTCGACTCTAATTTTAAATTTGTGTTGCAAAATATTCTATTTTTTATAAGAATCACGTCTGACTGACGTAAGAATGCGGAAAATGACGTTTTAGAATTTAATAATTCGAAATTTTTAAAGAGCAAAAATACAAAGTGCAAGTGGGCTGTCTTTGCAGCGTTTGGAATGAAACTGTCTCTATGCATATTTTTAGCTGCCGTTTTCTTAACCAAAAGTACCTCTAGGAGCTGGTGCTTCCCTAACCTTTAGTTGTTCTTACGCTACTGCTTTGTATGCACAAAGTGCTGTTCACTCCAAACGCCGATATTATACTTGAGCATCGCTTTCGGCATCCTAGCTGTCACCCATATTTCATAAAAGCTGATTTAAGAGTTAGAAATGTCATAAACTGTTGACCAGAATCTTGTCTATCCTTTAGGGGACTCCTCCCACCTCCAATCACTTGGAGAAAGGTGTCCATGCTTTATTCGACTTTTCCCTCCTGTAATCATCAAGGCCCTTTTTGAAGTGTACACATTATAAAAGACCACATGAACGACATTTGAAAAAGTTTATAACTCATAAAAAGCGGCATTATAGGCATTCATATAGTCATGTAGGCATTGTTACAATCAATAGTATAAACATTCATATACTTGTTAGTGTTGACATTCTTAAGGACGTTGGTATTTACATTGATGTAGTCATTGGTATTGGTGAAAACACTCGACTTTGAACTAAAATGATTCCATCGAAATTTTAATGACACGAGTTTGTTAGCTGTTAATACATCTTACAAAGATTAGCAAAAGGCCCAAATCAATTAAGTTTTTATTAGAAGGTTTAATCCAGTACTGAGTAGTAACTGGTGACAGATGAGATCAGTTTGTGAGAAAAAATGGGACAAATAAAAAGAACTGACATGCGAGCGATGCGACATATATGCCTGTTGGCTATAGCTTGAGAGACTTTGATTTCATCATTGTGTTATATAACAGCTTAATTAGATTGCATTGTTCACCATTTCAAAAGAATATTTTTATGGGTCCTAAACCTTACTACATGTCTTGAGTTCATTTGAGAGTAAAACAAACCAATAAATAAGAATAAAACCGACATATTGAAGAAAATGGTGATACTGCACAATCATGCTACGCAATGACGTGTCAAACTATAGTACGCGAATGTTTATTTTATGAAAGAAAAGAATTTAGCACCTACTAGGTAAATTTTAGGAATGCAAAACAAATGTACTTAAGTATAGGCTTATAGGCTTATAAGCCGCTTGCTTGGCCGTTCGAGGGGCCGTCTGCATTGACGAGGTTGATTCGACACCTACCTCCTCAAAATACTAATTTTTCACAATTTACTGTCAACGAAGTCTTTAAGCAATCGCTAAGATCCAATATTGGCGATATTAGAAAACTGAAACGCACTAGTAGATGGATTTGCAACGCCAGCGCAAGTCTTAGCGAGTCGTAACTTAAGGTCTACTATTCCTATACTACATTCATAATTAAACTCAAAATCATGAATGCTAAAGCCTATTTGATCAACTGAGAGAGAATTCAACGTCAGCTAAAGGAATACCACGACAGACATGTCCACAGCATTCGCAAACTAGAGAAAGGACATTTTGTAACCGTAAGAGAGGGAAAAGAATGGAAGCCAACAATGATCAAAATGAAAGCAAATGAACCTCGTAGCTAGTTACTTCGTGAAGAAACCGGAAGAAAGAATATACATATACTTTAAAAAAACTACCTGAAAAAAACGTTAATTGTAATATAAGTGTGAAATTCGGACTACTATTTGTACATAAATATAGAAAACTCCATAAACTTTAGATGCTCTTCAGAACCAGTAGTGTTAGCATTACAGGAATTATAATATTAACTGTATTGTATAATTTATAAAATATATCGGGGCAATGAAGAGAAAAATTGTAACAGTGCCCTCTCTTTGAACCCTTTGCAGTATCCTTGGATATTTTAGTATCTTTGATAAGAAGAATATATATGTAAAAGATAAATAAAAATTTTGAAAACAAAAAATCCCGTTTTCGGGAAATGTAAAAATAAGATATATAAAATAACTACCTGCATCTTTCCTTTAGGACGAGGATTCTGATTTTGAAAGGGTAGAGGAAGCAATCACCACAAGAGATATGCAAGAAGATTTAAAGTGCACTCTTCAAACTTTGCACATACAGATGGAGTATTGTGAGAAGAGTACTCTAAGGAATGCTGTTGGGAGAAGGTGGCGGATTCTCCGTGATATTGTAGAATTTACAACTAATGATGCACCAAGAAATTGACTAATCAAAACACAACACGTTAACTCAATTTTTGCCATACTTTAAGATTAACACATGATTTTACTAAACAGTTGTATGCATTACGTACTAATGAGATTTGTCATTTGAATCAGTTCTTCAGCTTGTGCCCAAAGATTAATTGGCAAAATTTGAAACATTTGAGAAGTATCATTCAAATATCTCCTATAAACCAAGCTTGGTTAGGTCTTTGAAGTTTCTTTTTACAGAGAATTTTATCTTTGATCGAAGTGTAAAATAGGAATGGTACTGTGACTTCATGAAAAATGTGAAATCTAAATTTATTTTTTCCGTAAAGTTTTCGTTTTAGTAACTAATATTTGTTGTTCCATGCATGAGTTTCGACCCTTAATTCTGTTCAACGACAAATGATCACCAAACGTGATCGAGATACATTGAACAAACAATAGTGGTTTATATAATTATATTCACAACGATGGTGGACACGTATAACTTGATCATTCTTCACAATGAAGACGTGTTTTGCTTATGTTAATCGTTCCGCTAAGGCTGTGTTGCCTATAATAAAGAAAAATTTGTGCTATGCACCTGTATATTCTGTAGTTTTGATGGAAAACATACTTCCTTTGAGCTGCTTTACACTGAATAAATTGTTCATGGTAAGCTTATTTTTTCTTCTTCAATATTTTCATCAGAATTTTTGGAAAAAGTTTATATTGTTTATATTGTGAAGGGAAATTATTAACTTTGACTACGCTATTCTTCTAGAAATCTTATAAACAATGCTTGAGAATGGACAATATATTCTTTGATGAATTTTAAAGCTGGTCAACGCCTCTTTCCAAGGTGTAGCTATAAATGACAAACTACGAAAGCAAACATAAAATACAATCGAGAGGAACATCTCCACTAGCTCAACACCTGTGTTCATAGAGGAACCACTATGCTATTGGACTATGACTTTTTGAAACGTGTCTAAGATTACGATTCTTGCCTGGTCAATTGCAAAGACAAGTCTCTAAACCACGCCGTTCATAAATTTCTAAATTAATTGAAATGAAATTTTTTCGGTATATAACATGGTATTTCTTTTTTCAAAAATTGAAACCTAAAAGTCCCAATCAGGCCGTAGGATGAGCATCGAAAAGATGTTCAGAAAACGGATTCCGTTGCACCCCTCTCGAGGCTACATAATTTTTACATGAGTAGATAGATAATAATCTCCTGAACCAGAATCTGGCCGTTGTTCCCCATGCGAAACAGGTGCACAATTGAGAGAAATCTTCCTTCATGGTTTGCGATTTACACGTATTGATGAATTTGAGCTGTCATTATTTTTTGCTATCTACTCATGCACACACTTGCGAAACTCGTACTGCGCAAACACACTTTGCGCATTTTGCTTCTAAGTTGAAACATTCTTGTCATGAACAAAACTATAATGGAGAAAGTTACCCTCGAGTTGCATTACGAACTGGGCATTTAGACGGTGTTATGGAGAGACTTCGCAGACTTGCATCTCGAAGGCTGAAAAATTTCTTGAGTTTAGATCAAAATGGACAAAACGTAAGGGTCAACAAGCTTAAATAGATAAGAAATAGTATGAAAACATCAGTAAATTCATGCAAAAGAACCCTTTGAGCATTGACTTGGTATCATCATATGAAATTAGAACTACTTCAACAAATTGCGCATCAATCAGTCCCTGACGGCAAAGACCATTTCTTAGAGAAACAAATATGAAATGTATACACCCAAATATATTTGTGGAAGAGACACATCTTGGTTCACAATGGACAAGCTTGATTACTTGGATAACTGTAAATACTACATAATAGTTTTTACTGCATTGTAAAGTTTAGTTTTGGATTATCTAACAATATTTATTTAGAGTAAATGGTTTGAACCCGGGAGTATCGTTACATGTTTGTAGATATAGATCGTCCAGGTTGGTATAGTCCTGAGAAGGACTGTTTTTGTTGTTGTTGACTGACGTTTCGACAACCTTAGCGGTAGTCATCTTCAGAGTCAAATGAGGAGTAAACGTCAGGTTAGCCGTATTAGTTCCATTTATGTTATTATTAGTTAAATTCAGGGCAAGAACAATGCCAGACTAACAGAACTTGCACAAGACCTTGTAAATCTGCCTTAAAGGCATTGCAAATCCGTAAAGCAATTGTGAAGCATTGGGAATCTGCATTAAAAGCATAGCATGTGCTATGGCTCTCAGACAACTGACATATTCGAATTCAGTAATTTCTTTAGTAAGTTGCTTGGGACATTGTATGTCAAATTCCTTTGTATTAAGTCACGAGACTGCTCTTGCACAGATGAATATATTCTGAATATAGATGAATATATTCTGCTATTCCCTTAGGCCATGGCCATAAGAAATTTTCCAACTATTCTGGCTTGGGATACTGTTGATTTTTCTGAACACTGGAAAAGTAGCAACTCATATAATTGAAGTGTTGCTTTTGATATGGAACAAAGTACAGTGACTGATTTGCCAAAATGAGAAAACATACCATTGTCAAGTGCCAACAACGACACCAGTCTTCGTTTTGAGGGGAAAGTAAAACTGTAGATTGTACAATGCCATGCAGAACAGGGAAGTTAGAAAAGAAATTTATTTACTGGCACAGGTTGATGCTAAAAAGGAAAGACCTTTCATTCTGCCTTTGTATATATTACAAGCAGAATTAACGTGATTCCAATTTAGTCGGGATGTAACACCCAACTAAGTATTTATAGAAGCATATACCTACGAAAGCAAAACTTGGTAATCTACTTGTAATTAATACATGTAATTAATTGCCTCGTAAACTTGTATTGTATTGCATGAAAATTACCACTTAATAAGAAATGTAGCTTAACTCAACAACTGACAGTTTTTAATAAAGAATTTTGTATTCTTTACATTATTTGTATTCTATAATTTTTGTTTCTCCTTGTTCAACGTGAGAAATTAGGGAAAACAATACGAAAACACTCAGGGAAACCCCGTCTATCCTAACTCCGCGTGCCAAATACGTGTTATTCAGATGTGCGCATGCGAAGATTGACAAATTGATGGCAAATTGAATTTATCAAAGCGCGTAAAACGCAAACTTTGAAGGAAGATTTCTGTAAATTGTGCACCTGTTTCGCTTGGGGAGCAACGGATTCTGGTCAAAGAGGTTATTATCTATCTATTCAAACAAAAATTATGTAGCCTCGAGAGGGGTGCAAGGGAATTGCATCTTTTGGATGCTCATCCTGCTGCCTAAACTTTCCGACTGGCTGTCGATATATTCGAGTTCATGCTGTATGCAACATGTGCAGTTATAAGAAATGGCCAATGGTAGCCGGAAAATTGGATACAATGGATGGACCATCAACGTTCTAAACTTTTTAAAAAAATTCTACGCCTCTACGTGGTTTTACATGCTGAGCATCTGATCACTTAAAATTGGCAAACATACGTCGTTGTTCGTTCGTCGTTCATAGTTCGTCATTCCTCGTCTGCCTTTAAAAGGATGTCTAGCAAGGGATTCCGAATACCGTGAGTGTTACTTTGTCCGTAGCTACGTATTAAAGACTGCTAACAGGTATTTCATACAATTCTAGCAAGAGCCACAACAAATTAAAAATCATAAATTGCCATATTCTTTGCATATATAAATTGATTTTTAGGCGTTAATTCAAAAACATAATTTAACAGTTACACATCACTTTGAAAGAAAACATTTATTAATTGATGTCCAATTACTTTTGACTCTATAAGTCATCATGAATAATTGAAACAAATGTAAAGAATGCACAATAAAGCCTCTCTGGAAAACGGGAAAATTGCAGGACCATGTAAGGACTTGTTTACATTAGCTGCCTGACAAGAGGGCGTTTCATGTTTTTGTAGCTATATTATTACTTATGAAACTGCTTATTCATAAGATTTAATCGTCGTTATTTTCGTAGAAATTATTAAGATGCAAGTTTGAACATCTTATATTAAATGATGTTGTAAATTTCAGATGTTCGTGCTTTTGTAGAGTTTTGTGTTAAGTTTCTTGTTTCTTACATAAAGATGAATCTATACTTTGTTTGGACTATTCTCGTCATACTTTATAAAAATTCTATAAAACTTTCGCTTCACCCATAAGTTGTTGATACTTACTAAGAACAGTCAATGTGTTCCTTTAACAAATTCAATCAAACTGATAGTAGATGATTGCAAATGCTTTGATTACTGGTAAGTTTAATCTTGCTGTGTTGTATAATTAAGTTTTAAATAAAAACATATGAATATAGAAGTACTTGAGAATAGGAAAATTGTTTATGATATTCTAAAGCAAGCATAATATGCTTTTGTCTATGGCCAAATTTAAGTTTTTATATCATTTTATAAATTAGCTTACATTACACATCAAAAATACCAAGATTAACATGATAACAACAACAAAATCATACGGTGTAACTTTGATTTACATAACAATCTAATCTCGTGATTATTTAAATTCCTTGTAAACCAAAATATTTCTATAATCCAACGTATCGACAATAAAGGTGAACAATATAGGTTTCTACGCAATGTAAAATGTAAAAACAAAACGAAAATATCTATCTTCTTCAAGGAAAACGGTAAGTTATTGATGAAGTGTTTGTATTAAAATGAATTTACTTGCATACGTAGTATCGGTCCAACGACTAAATTCTTATATATGACATTGCCGTCTGACATGGCGAATTTATTACGAAATTTGAAATGTTCATTTAAACTCTGTCTTTGACAACAATGCAGCTTTGTCATATTGTCTTTAAATAAAAAATCTTGAGTTTTATAATCAATTTTTCAGGTGAATTTCATCGGCAATATGCAGCATTTTGTATTGATATTTGTTTATAACAATTTTAGCTTGCGCATAAATTTGCGATGTAAAGAATCAATCATTTTGGCATAAGAAATTAGAAACTGCCATTTCCCCTTTTAATAGAATTTTATTCGTACGTTAACTCAAATACATAACTTAACATTTTAATATCGCTTTGGTCGAAAGAAAAATTTCGTTGTTGAAGTCCGAATACTTTTGACGAATACTAAGTTTTGTGCTGTGTTTGTTTTTCCTTGTAGTCATGAATTCACCTTATCTGGGTGTTCTCTTTCTACTTTATAAAAGTTTTCCTTTACATATATTGTTGAAATTTAATTACTAAACATAAAAAAGTTGTATTAAACATTTTTATTAAACTGTCAGTTTATAATTACGATTGCTTTGATTACTGATGCATTAAATCTTAGTTGGGAAATTGAGTTTACAATTGAGACACATGAATATAAAAATAGCTACTGAAGCTCTAAAGCAAGCATACAAAGAGAATGCACTTCAAGAATATAAAGTTACTTTGTTGTATCTTTTTATCAAATTTATTGCAAAACAGATTAAAAGTACCACAAATAACTATAAAAAGTCACGAGATGTATCTTTAATTTACATAAGAATTTATTCTTGGTAAAAATTTTTGAATTCCTTTCATAAAATATTTTGCACGTTTTAGACTTGTAAGATGCACATTCAAAATTAGCTAAACTTTAAAAACAAAGCAAAAGTTCTCTATCTTTGTCAAGGAAAACGGCGAGTTATTAATCATGTGTTTGTATTGTAATAGAAATAATTTATGTGGTTACATAAATGTAGGACTGAGGACAAATTCTCACAGTTATATGACATTGATATCTGACATGGTAAATGTATTTTAAAATGCAAACATGTTCATGTAAACAGTTTCATTGACTACAATCATCTCCTTTAATTAAATTGCCTTCATTAAAAACTTAAAATCACGAGCGGAAAATTTCACCAGGCAGCTCAATTTATTCTTGTCTATTCATAGCTGCATCTTCCTTTGAATATTGTAGACGGAATTTTTATGTGATGAAAAGATTTATTCATTTTAATTTAAAAATCATAGATTTCCATATTTTTTGCATATATAACTTGATTTTCATGCATTGATTTAAAATTATAATTTAACAGTTATCTTTGCAAATATTGGGCATCTACGTGGTTTTACATGCTGAGCATCTGATCACTTAAAATTGGCAAAGATAAGTTGTTCGTTCGTCGTTCCTCGTCTGTCTTTAAAAGGATGTCTAGCAAGGATTCTTGAAAACCGCGAGTGTTACTTTGTCCGTAGCTACGTTTTAAAGACTGCTAACTGGTATTTTATACAATTCTAGCAATAGCCACAACAAATTAAAAATCATAAATTGCCATATTCTTTGCAAATATAAATTGATTTATAAGTTTGAAATTTTGTAATCCAGGCATTTAATACATAAAAGATAAATGTTTCTCCGGATTTTAAGTGATTTTTATTCAGCTTTCGACTCGTTGCTTCGAGCCTTCATCAGAATGAGGATATTTATTTGCACGTGCTTTTAGCTTGGAGACGTTTAGAGCGTCTAATTGGATTAGTGGATTGATTAATGTGATTGGATGGGGTGAAATGCGTTGCCATGGGTTTTGATGTATTGTGAATATGATTGGTGTTAATAATATTAGAGTGTAGTGTTTTAGTTTTGGTGTTGTTTGTAGTTTTTTTGTCCTTTTTCTTTAGTTGTGAGTATATGATGGGTATGTCGATATATCTGTTTATTGTGTCGTTGTCTTTACTGTACCAAGCTTCTTTAAATTCGCGTGCGTGTTTAGTCTGTGCGCGTCCGAGTACTTTAGTTTCTGTCCAGTCGAATGTGTGGTTGTTTCCGTGGGTATGTTCTGCCGGTAGTGAGTTTGGATCTCGTCGTTTAATGGCGTTTTTGTGTTCTGTGAGTCTTGTTTCAATTTTCTTAGATGTTTGTCCTATGTATTTCTTTGAACAGTCTTTACATGGTATCATGTAGATCGCGTCAGTTGTATCATGAATTGTTGTTTTGTCTTTATGTTTGGTGAAACATGATTTGAGTTTTTGTGTAGGTTTGTGGGCGACGTTAATATTAAATGGTCGAAGAAGTCTGGCAGTCATTTCTGATGTTCCGTTTATGTATGGTAATGTGACGATTTTTACTGTTTCGTCCGGTTTTGTTGCTTTGTCGGTCGTGTTTTTTTGTTTTGTATTTTGTATATAGTTTTGTTTATAAAGTTTCTAGGGTAATTGTTTTAATAAATGTGGAGTATAAGTAGTTGCGTTCTGTTTTTGGCTTCTTCCGTATTACAATGAGTGTTTATCCTGTTGAAAAGTGTTCGAATGCAGCTTATTTGTGTTGTGTTGATGATTGCTGTTGAAATGGAGTATTTGGTCTATGTGGGTGGTTTTGCGGTATACTTGTGTGTTAAGTGTACCGGCATCTGTTCTGGTTAGTAGGATGTCGAAGAAGGTAAGTTGTTTGTCGTGCTCTTCGTCTTTAGTAAAGGTAATGTTCTTTGTAGTATTGTTTATGGTGTGTAGGATTTGTTCAGTTTTGTCTTTCTTGACTATGGCAAAGATGTCGTCGACATACCTTTTCCATAGTCTGATGTCAAATCCATTAATGAAGCCATCAAAAAAGTAACATCCGCATATCGAACAAAACGACACCACGAACTTCATCGAAAATTACAAGAATCCAGACCTTACAAACAACTTCATCCCAACACAAACGAATTAGTCAGAAACATCTCGAAAAAACCACTAACCGAACAGCAAACTAAAATTTTAAACAAAGGATTAAATTACAACTTTAAAGACGCGAACAAACTTGACTACGTTGCCGACCTGGAATCCGCTTTAAAGTACACCAACTTAACAGTCCAAACGAAAGAAGACATTCGTCACAAAATCACAAATAACCTCTGCCACAAGCCACCTGTCACCCTAAACTACGAAGAACTACGAGCAATTAAAAACCTACAAAACGACGACCAAATAATCATATTACGAGCTGACCAAGGACCCAAAACAGTTATCATGGACAGACCAGAATACATCGACAAAGCCAAAACCCTCCTACAAGACACCACCACCTACGAACTTCTCCACACAGACCCCAGCAAAACGACCACCAACCACATCAACCAGAAAGTGAAACAACTAAAAGACGAAAAGAAACTAAACGAAAACGACTACAGAAGAATCCGACCCAATGACGCATCCACCACCAAATTCTACGGACTACCAAAAATCCACAAAGAAAACAACCCACTTCGATCTTTCGTATCACTTCCAGGATCACCTACGTATGAACTTTCAAAATATCTTTATAACATTCTGTATCCATTAGTCAAAAATTCACCTCACACCATCAGATATGCTACCACTTTCCTCGCCAGTATTGAAAACATTAAACTACGACCAGACGAAATCATGATATCCTACGACGTGACATCACTCTTCACATCCATACCACTAGACATCGCCAAACAAATTACAAACGAACTACTCACAAACGACAAAACTTGGTAAGCTACAACACAACTAGAGAAAAATGACATCCTAGACTTACTCAACCTTTGCTTCTCCACTGAATTCACCTTCCAAAACACATACTACAGACAAATTTCAGGCACACCAATGGGATCACCACTATCCACCTTCCTCGCAGAAGCAGTCATGCAACACCTCGAAACACAATCAGTCACAAACAACACAAACATCAGACTATGGAAAAGGTATGTCGACGACATCTTTGCCATTGACAAGAAAGGCAAAACTGAACAAATCCTACACACCATAAACAATACTACAAAGAACATTACCTTTACTAAAGAGAAGAGCACGACAAACAACTTACCTTCTTCGACATCCTACTAACCAGAACAGATGCCGGTACACTTAACACACAAGTATACCGCAAAACCACCCACATAGACCAAATACTCCATTTCAACAGCAATCATCCAACACAACACAAAATAAGCTGCATTCGAACACTTTTCAACAGGATAAACACTCATTGTAATACGGAAGAAGCCAAAAAAACAGAACGCAACTACTTATACTCCACATTTATTAAAAACAATTACCCTAGAAACTTTATAAACAAAACTATATACAAAATACAAAACAAAACACAAACCGACAAAAGCAACAAAAAACCGGACGAAACAGTAAAAATCGTCACATTACCATACATAAACAGAACATCAGAAATGACTGCCAGACTTCTTCGACCATTTAATATTAACGTCGCCCACAAACCTACACAAAAACTCAAATCATGTTTCACCAAACATAAAGACAAAACAACAATTCATGATACAACTGACGCGATCTACATGATACCATGTAAAGACTGTTCAAAGAAATACATAGGACAAACATCTAAGAAAATTGAAACAAGACTCACAGAACACAAAAACACAATAAAACGACGAGATCCAAACTCACTACCGGCAGAACATACCCACGGAAACAACCACACATTCGACTGGACAGAAACTAAAGTACTCGGACGCGCACAGACTAAACACGCACGCGAATTTAAAGAAGCTTGGTACAGTAAAGACAACGACACAATAAACAGATATATCGACATACCCATCATATACTCACAACTAAAGAAAAAGGACAAAAAAACTACAAACAACACCAAAACTAAAACACTACACTCTAATATTATTAACACCAATCATATTCACAATACACCAAAACCCATGGCAACGCATTTCACCCCATCCAATCACATTAATCCACCCACTAATCCAATTAGACGCTCTAAACTTCTCCTAGCTAAAAGCACGTGTAAATAAATATCCTCATTCTGATGAAGGCTCGAAGCAACGAGTCGAAAGCTCAATAAAAATCACTTAAAATCCGGAGAAACTTTTATCTTTTATGTATAAATTGATTCATTTGCGTTGATTTAAAAATATTATTTAACAGTTAAACATTACTTTGAAAGAAAACATTTATTAATTGATGTCCAATTACTTTTGACTCTATAAGTCATCATGAATAATTGAAAAAATGTAAAGAATGCACAATAAAGTCTTCCTGGAAATGAAAAAATTGCAGGACCATGCAAGGACTCGATTACATAAGTTACCAGACAAGATGGCGTTTCATGTTTTTGTAGCTATATTATTACTAATGAAACTGCTTATTCATAAGATTTAATCGTCGTTTTTTTCATAGAAAATATTAAAATGCAAGCTTGAACATCTAATATTAAATGATGTTGTAAATTTCAGATGTACGTGTTTTTGTAGAGTTTTGTGTTAAGTTTCTTTTTTCTTACATGCAGAAAAATTTAAACTTGTTTGGACTATTCTCGTCACACTTTATAAAAGTTCAATAGAACTTTCGCTTCACCCATAAGTTGTTGATACGTACAAAGAACAGTCAATGTGTTCTTTTCACAAATTTAATCAAACTGTTAGTAGATGATTGCAAATGCTTTGATTACTGGTAAATTTAATCTTGCTGTGTTGTATAATTAAGTTTTAAATAAAAACATATGAATATAGAGGTACTTGAGAATAGGAAAAATGTTTTATGAAGTTTTAAAGCAAGCACAATACGTTTGTCTCTATGGCCAAATTTAATTTCTTATATCTTTTTATAAATTCGCTTACATTACACATCAAAAATACCAAGATTAACATGATAACAACAACAAAATCATACAGTGTATCTTTAATTTACATAACAATCTAATCTCGTGATTATTTAAATTCGTTAAAAACCAAAATATTTCTATAAACCAGCGTATCAACAATAAAGGTGTACTTTAATTTTCTACGCAATGTAAAAAGTAAAATAAAACGAAAATATCTATCTTCTTCAAGGAAAACGGTAAGTTATTGATGAAGTGTTTGTAGTAAAATGAATTTACCTGCATACGTAGATATCGGTCCAACGACTAAATTCTTATATATGACATTGCTGTTTGGCATGGCGAATTTATTTCGAAATTTGAAATGCTCATGTAAACTCTGTGTTTGAAAACAATGCAGCTTTGTTATATTGTGTATTTATAATATATAATAATATATAAATATAATAATAATATTGTCTAATAATAATAATAATAATAATAATAATAATAATAATAATAATAATAATAATAATAATAAGAAGATGAAAACGTATTTTATTATGATCATTATTATCTATTACAAATATAAATGTTAAAAACTAAATCAAATATGACTAAAATCAGTGTTTAAAAATAAACACTGATTACACAATAATACACACTGATTACACACTGATTACAAATAAACACAATAATAATAATAATAATAATAATATAATATATAATATGATATAATAATAATAATAATAATAATAATAATAATAATAATAATAAATAGGTTCATTGGTATAATAAGACT